ATAAATAAAACCTTGAGAATGTAAAAAAAAAAAAAAAAAAAAAAAAAGCCCAAACCCCAACGTAGCCAAAATAGGCCTATAAAGTTTAAAATGTAAAATTGATTCCCAGCAAGTCCAACTTAACCTGCGTCAGGTTGTCTGTTAAATTATTGAATGTGTTAAAGTGGCAGTGGCCATCTTACCTCCCCCCTCCCTCCCCCCTTCCCCCATCACTTTGGCAGCTGAATGAATCAGACTAAATGCACTTTTAATGTTATCCTGCTGTAGCTATCAGGTATCACACATCATCTCTTTCTGGGAATGTTTTATGTGGTTCAGTACCCCTTGCTTGCTCTGTCCCTTCCTTAAGTCTTACTGTGTTTCGTTTCTGTGGCAAATTGTGGTTTGTGTTGGTTGCCAATGTGTTTTGTAGCAGTGGAATCTGTTACCTTCTCCCCACATCCCCCCCTTCAGTTTTAATGTGTAGTAAAACCTTACAATCTGTGGTATTTGTAACTTAGGCAAATCTCTGTCATCGGAACGGTCCTAGGACATGGGCAGCATTTTGCAAATGAGCAGAATGTCGTTGCCGGTTACGCATGGAGTTAATTTACCTAATACAGTATTTGTGCTTATGCAGATGACCAAATTTGTTGTATTATAATCTGAACAGAGATGCTTCATAACTTATTTCTCACAAAGATCATCTATTTATGCAGAAGTTTTTGCATGCTTGAAAATGGAACTGGGCTTCAGTGGTTTTGCTTCTGTCAAGCTCCATTTAAAATTTTAAAGATCATATTTTTCCCACTGCATGAAATACTAAATGTAGATTTCATTTTTTTTTTTTCCTCCTTCTTTAACCTTTGGAAAATGCTAATGGGAAACTAGGCAAAAGAAAAAAATCGGTGCATATGAATAGTGATGATGCTGATGATGAATACTGTAAATTATTTAATTATGGGAACCCGGAGGAAAACATAGTAGTGGTGCAGTGTATGAAGGTCTATGCTTAAGGTGTATTGAAGAGGGAGGAATGTGGGCAGTTACCTGCAAGCAAGGAAAAATACTGCAAAGCTGTGAAGTATTTCGTTATTACGTACAAATTTTTTGTTGGAGGGGAAATTTTAATTTTAGAAAGTGGTTTCAGTCGTCTTCATCTATGGGCTATTTTGGCCTTAATAAATCAGACTATAAATTAGTACTGAATGACTTTTCCGTCATTAAACTTGTTTGAGCTTGCCTGACGGTGAACCGTGTTAGCAGCATACATGGCTTGGTTCGGTTTAATGAGTGCAATGTACAAAATCATAAATGGTCCGTCAAGAAATGCACCCTGTAATCTGTATGCGCTGCGAGGAATTTGTTCCCCCTCCTCCAGGTCAAGCCAGCTGCTGCTGCAGAAGCTGACATCCTCTAGCAAATCCTGAATGAATGAATGAAAACAACGTGATCGCCCTAATAATGACCACAATTGCACACGTCAACAGCTTTATTTTACCGAAATACAGGCACCATTTTCTAGCAGGCAAGGGTAATAAGATATACCCTATTTCTTCGGTCTCGCAAATGAATAAAGGTTACAAAAAACCCCCCCAAAACCTAGAGCTGTTTTTACACAATCTGGAATATAGTTGCATGCCACAGGGCAGGATTTTGTCTTTGTTCCCCTGCTTGTTCTCAGCATTTTAGTCCATGATGTATGGATCCTGAAAACGATGTTTGTAGTCTATATGGTGATGGTAGTATATAGAAAATTGATTGCTGAACGGGAGGACTGCTGCAGTAATAATGGAGGACTTGAGGTAAAAAAAAAAAAAAAATGTTCTGTTTTCAAACATGGACCATCTTGCTGCAGCTTGTTAAACAATGTGCTGCTCCAGCTATTTATAGTTGTTACCAGTATGTGAGTCTTGGGGAAGCGACTTGATTAAGTTTTTTTTGTTAGTTTTTCAAAACCATTTCCCACTGCTGTAAAATGTGAGCTTAGGCTCTATGTATAATCCTGTTGTTTTCCTCACCAGTGCAGGAGATCTGTTTGTCTTTGGCTCTGCAGTCTGACTTGGACTGTTTCATGGATATGCTCATGCTGGAGACTGCTTATAATTCTGATGGATAGATGTTTTCCTCTTGTTAAGACACCTGCCCCTTCCCCACCTCCTTTCAGCCTTTTCCAATATAGATTCCTTGAATTGGGTATCCTACTAAGCTATTTTGTTGTGGATTTTAGTGATTTGCCAGAGGTTCCTTTTATAAAGGAGATTTCTGTGCAAACACTCCAGCTTTGAGCCTCTACAGGTCAGAGCAACTACCATTGCAGGCGTTGACATCACTACTACATGAATGAAAGCGGCATGCTCTGCTTCTCCTCCCATCATCATCTTTTCTCTCCCTTCTTTCTAGGATGCCGTAAATGTTTGTTCTGCAGCTAAACCCTGTGTGTTTAGAACTGAAACTTTAAGAATTTGATGGTATTTTCTTTAGGCAAATTTGGGGATTTGTAGTTGTTCGGAAACCATCGATGCCAGTATTTGTATTTGGTTAGTATTGATACTGAATGGATGAGAAATCATGAACAATATACGCTAATTTCAAGGTGCTAAAAAAGGGGAAAAAACCCTTCTGATATCGTAGGATAAACCTGCAATGTGTAAGTCTATTCCTTTTTTTTAAACACGTTCATTCCTTACTAGTAGATATTTTTTTATAGCCTGTGTTCGTGTTTTGGAGAGTTGGCAATGTAGAAAGTGTCTGGTTGAATCTAACAACACATGGTTTTCTTAGAGGGAATATATCTGATGCATCTCTGATTGCATAAATGTAACATCAACAGACTGTGAAGCTGCGTGGTTTATTACAAAGGGCATTCCAATAATAATCCAAAAAACCCCCTTGGACAGGTCAAACAAAACATATTACTTGCTTGTGAACACTTACGTTTTACAGGAAAAAAAGCAAGTTGTTTTCTTTCTTGCCTTACCTGGATAAAATCAGTAGTTTCTGTTATTATGTAAAGTAGCTTGTATAAACATGAGAAAATGGGTTTCCTGTTTAGTTTGTGTTTTTCACATGGTGTGTGATGTTTTGTATACAAGAAGGGTGTAAATAACTTCTGTATGATTCAAGCTCAATATTGCTTTCATCGAATGCTTTGATTTGTTTAGTGTTAACTCTGGTGGCACTGTAATATTATGCTTCATATTTTTCTAACTTTGACTTACATAGTTTATAGTACAAACTTTTCTCCGTATCAAATTTTGATTAGTTTTGAGGACATCTGAAAAATATTGTAATCAATTTGGCTGTTAAAGGTTCCCAATATCTTTTACTTCTCAAAATAACTCCTGAAGTGTTGCCAACATTAGTAAGAAAAAGGAATTAAAAAAGATGCAAAACAACTGCATAACGCAGTTCTGAGTAATAATTATGTATATCTATTATGCTAGTAGATGAAAGGCTAGTGGAGTGAGGAGTGGAGTAAGACAGACAATATTGCTGATCTCTAGACTTGTAAGGGATATCAGTATTTAAAAAGCCAAAATTCAGACTTCAAAAGGCAGAACTATTTTAATATCCTGGATTCGAGCCATCCAATATTTTGGCATCATAAGCGTTTATACCAGAGATCAAGAAGATCTTTCCTTTATTTCTAACAAATGTAGGTAAGGAAGTAATTTTTGTGACGCTTCCTATTTCCTGATGCCTGAATAATAGCAGTATTCCCATAATTGTATGGCCAAAACAGTTTTGCTCCAGCTTTGTCCCTCTCTCTTCCCAAAATAGCTTACGTTGGAATACAATATGGTGAAATAAGACACTGGCTAAATTTGAACCAGTTGTCTTGAACTCAAAGGCTTCTTAGTTACATGTTTTAACATCACTTTAAATGAGAATAGTATATTAGATGTGCTTAATAAATATGTTTCAGAAGACAAATCAATTGAGCTTCTTTCAGGTGTTAAAGCAACTGCAGGAAAGAAGAACAGAAAGGTATTGTCTACATTGAACTTGAATGATACTGTAGCAAGGCATTAGCTATTAAGAAAGCACCCCCTTCCCCATGGGAGAAATAACTTATAAAGTATATATATAATATATATATTTTTTTTTTTAAATCACTACCTGACCATTAATTCTTATTCTTTGGATGTAAGCAAGTATTAGCATGTTACATATGACTAAACTGAAGTTACTTGCCAACATCCATGCATGGTAAAACAGTGGCTAATACTGAAATTTGTTTTCTGAAATTCATGGTTCCTGTTTTTTGTCCTTTTCTTTCCCATGGTGGTGGGGTGAACGGAGGTTCTTAAAATGTATCTTAAAATACAGGGAGGGTAGATCAAGGGACTGTATCTTCGAATCTTACAAAAAAGGCAGTGTTTGCCAAGTATAGACTGACACATAATGAGTTGTTGAGCTTTGCTATATTGCTAAAATTCACAGTGGAAAGCTAGTTATTTTTAAAATGGGGTTTATGCTACTACTCTACATATCGTCATGAAAAAAAATATAACTGATGCAGTAATTCTGAGATTTCAGTTCAACCTGGACTTGAAAGCAATAGTTGTAACAATGCAAAACCTATTGGAAATAAAGTATATGCTCCTCAATGTTTCAGTGTAAGTGAATATTTGAAATACTTTTTTTTATGGGACTTCATCAGTTGAGTAATTATCTTCATCTGAAGAAGGTAATAGCTTTTTTTTTCCCCACAAGTGGAAAATGAAAGTTCCTGTTTAAATCAGTTGGCAATATCTTCAGTAGAGAAAAGCGTTGCCAACACTTGACACAATGGTTAGTTCTCCATGCGTATGTTCAAGAAAAGTTGTTAATATAGTAGGGTTTAAACACCAACTTGCATTTTTTTGAGAAGTATCATTTATTGATGAAAAAAAGGACCCTGTAGTAAAGATACATAACTGGAAAATTTTGCTCAAGGCTTGAGATAGTTAACCGTGTTAATGATTATTATCTTGCTTCAATGTTAATATTTAAATGCATTGAGTTCTCTTTCTTTCAATGCTGCCTCCCATGTAAACCTGTAGTGCCTAAACCCTTGCTTAAGGCATTTTTAGCCAAAATAATATTTACATCTCATCTTTAGAAGGTATACATCCAGAGTAACTTGTCAGCCTGAGATTTTCCCCTTTTCCTTTGTGTCACCACTTTTAAGGTGTGGGCAATTGCAAAATGAAGAGAATCAGAGTGAAGGAAAATGGATGTTTGTACTTCATAATCTAATTCTTCTACTTTGAGTGTGTATTTGCTTCTTTCCAAAAATTAGATTGTTCTTCAGTTATGCTTTAATTTTTCCCCTCCTGATTTGACTCTGAAGTTCACCACCACTAATTTGTATTATGACTATTTTTGAATCAGAAATTAAATCCTAAAGCTTGAAAATAGCTGATGGGTACTGAAAGGGATCACAATTTGAGACTTCTGCAGTATGGATACCACACAGAGTGTCATGATACAGTGTGTAATATCAATCCTTTTGAATGGCAAGTCAGTCTCTCCATGCTCCAACTCTTATTTTTCTGAAGATAGGATCTCATCCATGGAAACACTCACCAATGGTTGAAACTGAAATACATGCTCTCTCGGGAGCCCTTTCCTGCTCTCCCAGCTGTGCTAATATGGACTTAGGACCAGAGCTGTTCCCTTACATGGTCCCCTTGGACTGTCTGGTGATGACTCTGCTTAGACTACGTCTTCTGCTACTAGTAAGACAAGAGGGCATGTAGCTGCTAGAAGCTTATCTTGGGGAAGGAAACCCAGCGAGGCCAAGTGGGGCCATGCTGGGGAGTGCCTTCAGCCTGTTGTCTCTGGCCTTGTAATACTGCCTCTGCCTGGGTCCTGTTCATTTCCCTTCTGCACCTTCCCTGCTCCTTTGGTATCCGCACTGCTTCTCATTGGCTGCTGCTGCTGTATCCTACCAAACTATTGACTATCACCATGTTAAAAACAGATTAGTTTTCTCTGATGGGGAGAGGGGGGGATGGGACACACCACACCCAGAAGGTGTGGGTGTCTACACTCAAGCAATAACTGTTTTCTGCACAAACAATTCATAAATAGGGATTAACGTAACCAGTTGGTGTTGGATCAATGGACCCAATGGTTTTGATGGAAAGTTTTCATTTTTTGTAGTAGTAGATCTCTTAATTAGCTTTCTATATTAGATATTGCTGCTTTGGAGACAATATATACTTCCCAGTAGGTCATAAAATATTATGAGCTTGGGTTTTGAAACCTTAATGCAAGACACTGTATTGGTTAGACCTTATTTAGTGTTGCATGTGCCCTAACAATAAATGATGACACAGATGCTGGTGTTTATAAGGATTTAGCTTTTGCTGCTGGTGTTAAATTGAGGAGTAGCTGTTTGCAATGGATACCATTCTCTGAATCAAATACAGATGAGTGATTAACAACACTGGTTCTTATGTGCCACTTGTTTTGTACAACCTGAAACTAGTTTTACCCAAACTACACATTTTGTTTCCTCTTCAGGAAGAATGTGTC